TTTTCGACTAAACACTCTATGAATAATGTCATTTTCGTATAGAATTTTTTCAAATTCTGACCATTTTTTAAATAATATTACATTCGTACAAAATACTAAACAGTCAATGTGATTATGTTTACGGATCAAAATTACTTGAGAATAAGTTATACTCCCTCCGTCCCAATTTAAGTGTCATTTATTGGGAATAGTAATTTTTAAAGGGACACGTAAGACATGCATTATTTGTCTAAAAAATTATTAACTTGCTCTTTTAAGTTTGAATATTAAAGTTTGAAATTTTAAACTCAAAGAACGTATATGAAAATATGTGAAATATATTATTAGAAAAAGAGAAGTGGACTAAGACAGATTAAAAAAGAAAATATGGCACTTATTTTGAGACGAAATAAGTAAAATAAAAGGTTAACATTTTGTATGAACAAAACTTAACCATACCAAGTAATTAATTCAAGATAGGTACAAATAAACCAAGGTTACATTTTTCACCAATTCCATCCAACTCTGTTGCAGCCTCGTTAACATAGCTATACTGGATCATGACGATCAATTTACAACTTACTTGAGAAGAGAAGAGAAGAGAAACATTTATTATATAAATGCAGTGAATTTAATTTCTGATCTCTAAAATATTTGATGACTCCAATTTTTATACTTTGAAACACAAAATGGAAATGAGTGCATTTTTCAAGAGCACGTTTACACTGTCCCATGAATACTAATTTTTTTTTTTGTTGGAGTAGTACGAGATCTAAGTATAAAATATTCTCCTAGTGTTGCACCTCAGAGAATCATCCCAAAATGAACCCTGGATCTCGAGTTTGGATTTTCGACTATAATCTTTTCTGATATAGTATTTTTCAACACATTATATCTCATTTTTATCACAATATAGTTGATTTCAATACAGTGCTTCTCAATACATTACATATGCTTTCAACATATTTATATCTACTTAATTTAATTTAATTTAAAAAATTAAAAATCAAATGTAATACGTTAAAAATCATATATAATGGATTGAAAAATACTACAAAGAAAAGATTCCGAAAAGTCCAGAATAAAAATTATTTTTAAAAAATTTTAGTGTACAACTATTAATTACTCTTCTTTATTTTTGAAGTAGCATGTGTTGGTACTAGTACTTAAAACAATGTCCCCTGCACGTGGGACTTTTTTCCATGGCTTTCACTACCAACCAACCACTCACCAAGCACTCCCACCAAAAACACCTTCACGAAATTATGATCTGTTTTTGTTTTCCCATTTCACATGTTTTCTATTTTTGTGTTTCCAACAAGTATTTACTATTTCGTCACCTTTACTTTTTCTTTTTTTCTTTTTTTTCCATTTAAATCTTTACTTTTATTGCAGCCTGTAAAACGCTCTTATTTAAAAATTTAAAAATAAAAATAAAAATCTCTAGTGACCTTACTTTTTGGGTGAAATTATTCCTCGTATATGCTTTGATAATTAAAATAAAAATAAAAATCTCTAGTGACCTTACTTTTTGGGTGAAATTATTCCTCGTATATGCTTTGATCTCGATCTTATTCTTATGAATGTGGGATGTGTCACAGATTGGTTCCAAAAAGATTTTGTAACAAATGACCTCATAACATGTGATTTTTTGTTACTGGTCCACCCACTTGAGAATGTCCTAGAAGTCCTTCGTGAATGATAATATGGTTTGGTACATTGAAATAAATTCAAATGGTTGTTCATGAGTTTTTTTTTTTTTTTTTTAAGTAAATTCTCTTTAGAGATGACAACGGGGCAGAGTTGGGATAAATTTGGCTAAACCTTATCTCACTCCATTAAAAAATTTGCCATACCAACTCTGTGGCGGGTTTGTAATTAGTATAGCATTCTCGCTCCTACTCCGATAGACAAAGTACAAATTCTGTCAGAACTAGGCGGGTTAAGCCAATTTTATTACGAAGTATTTAGTAAAAAAAAACTAATCCAATGTATTCAAATTGGGTTTTTGGCCAACGTACATGTGGACCAATTACAAATAGAAATGTCCTCTTTAGCTACCAAGTCAAATATGGTGATTGATGGGAGACATACTTACTTATCAATCTCTAATTTGGTAATTAAAATAAAACTTGTTCATTTATATTGGTCCACAATAGCAATCTAAGTACTGTCTTTTAATATATTAACTGACATTTTCAGTAAAGTTGGTCTTAAAAATATTTATAAAAATTTTAAAGTTACATATATAATCAAGCAGGGGCGGGACAGGTTTATCAATAAACTTACTTCCAATTTTCAATTATTTTATCATATCCGTCTCAAACTCATTTAGAAAGCTACTAAATTCGCCCCATTAGGAGCGGAGCGAAAAGCCGATGGGTCGGTAAAAATTATCATTCCTACCCTAGAAGAGTAGAGATATAATGGTCTTTTTAATCACATAACATGATATAGTTTGTTTTGGTCCAAACTTGTACGGCTTTGTTATTAAGTTTTACTTAAAAATGTATCGTACATCAAGAAATCAAATCAATACATATAAACATTTAACCTTTACATTTCTTACACGATACAAAATTATGCAATTTATAACTCGTTCGAGTAAATAGCTCTTAATTTGCGTTCACGCCAAAATGGAAGATTGATTGAGAAAATACGGAACAGCCGTAAATGAGTGGCAATAACACTTAGCACCATGACGCCTTTCATTCATAACTTCCATAAAGAAAGATATTTTTATTTTTCGCCTGATTGATCAAAACAGGTACTACTAAATGGACGGTCGAGATCACACCACCAAAAAGTGGAGCCCACACCTGATAGACACCATTCAATCACCCAAGTACAAAAAGTCCTCACAGGAATCTTTTTCTTTCTCTCACACAAGTTTCCTGGCACGATCAATTATTAGCTAGCATTGAACTTGAGGGACAACAGAAAACAAAATATCAATACGTTTATATATATATATATATATATATATATATATATATTTGTATTTTTGTAATGGAGGATGTCTGTGCTTGTCGGGGCAAAACTAATTTTTTTTTTAAATGAAAATCCTTTTCAGTTATATATTTCACCATTTCTTGAGGTCGGTGAATCCTATTACGATCAATAGTGAAATACCTGTCTGAATTTTGTTACTATTTATTTGCAATAAAATTTATTAATAAAGCGATATAATTCACTCACATAAAAAAATTAACAAAAAATAGCTTTAAACACCCACTATAATTCAGAAACTACTTAGTATAGAAAAAGTTTTATATCAAATATATATATATATATATTCAAAGTTTTATATCAACTCCACTACGAAAGTTAAAGCATTTATATCACATCATAAGATATGTGAGAGAGAATTTCATAATGAACTAAAAGTTGTAGGAAATAACATTAGAGACATTTACAAATGACAATCTGTGCTGTGCACATGAGCTTTGTTACCTAGAGGATCAAATTGGAAATTAACATGTGCAGCTCAGAGATCAGCACAGAACACACAGCTTAGCCATTGTCCACACCTTAAAGAATTCTCTTTGAATTTGCCAAACCACATGCCCTATCAAGCAAAACGATGCATCCTTATGAAGGGTTTTACATTTTATGAAAAAATATTAGGATTAAGTGCATAAAACCAGCCTAATAATATAGGTTTTTGAAAATGCGTTTTTCATTTCATAAAATTTTAAAAGGTGTAAATAAGTTCCTTTAACTATTTTTTTTTGTTAAAATTGACGTAAAGTAAATTTAAAAACTCTAATTTGTCTCTTCTCTTCTCTTATTTTGCAATTTTTTATCAGTTGGGTTTCACTCATTTAACAATGAGTCTTCTCCATTTTTTAATTTTTTTTAATATTACATAAATTTTTGTAAGCATGTATTTTTTTTTTTTCTTTTTTTCTTTCTATTGGGCCACCTAACCAATTAGGGTTGAAAGACATGTGTCTTTGTCTAAAAGGATAATTTTACTTTACTTTATTTTTTAAATATTATTTCATCTTATTGGCAAGAGGGTATTATTATAATTTTTTTATGTAAACAGGGGTATTTATATCAAATTAAAAGTAAGAGGTATGTTTTATACCACATAAGAACATAGTACAGAGGAATTTTTTTACACTTAACCCAAAATACTATATAGCAAATTCGAATAATCTCGTGTGACACAAGCAGAGGTGGCAAATTACGATACACCACGACACGAGTTAAAAAGGATTGAGTTTGAAATAAATGGATTTGGGTCATAAAAGGGTCGACACGATTAACCCGTTTACTTAATCGTATTAGATTAGAGTTAAGAAGTTCAACCTGTGTAACCCGTTTATGACCCATTTAACTCAACATGGTATAATTGTGAATATGATTTATCTGTTACCTATTTAAACTCAATTACTATCAATAGTTAAGTCATTTTAACATAAATCTTATCTATACCTTATGATTTTTCTTTTTATTTTGAATATTAAAATTAATGATGATAATTTTTTTTTTTTTTTGTATTTAATTAAATATTAAATGTCTCGTTTTGATAAACAGGTCGTTGAACGGATTAACACATTTACTTGTTTAATAAACGGGTTGAGTTAATATTGAGAATTCTTGACATGATTATTAAATAGATTAGGTTTGAATTTATCTATTTAATATAATACTCTTGCTTCAATACGAAATACCACACCAACACGAATTGTCACTGGTAATTACTTTATCTTGACTAAGTATTAATATTAAATCGTTTATACAACACCTTGTCATAAATCATTAACTTCAGATATTTTATACAACAATTTACAATTTACCTTATCGTTTAAACGACCTAGGATGTTTTACGTGGGTCTGCTTCAGATATTTTATACAACTTACAATTTACCGTGAATAGTTTGCAGGGTAAACGACCTAAGATGTTATACATGTGTGTGCCACTGGAATATTCCACCTTCAGGTTCCACTGGAGGTGACCATGATTTTTCTAGAACACGATGCCATTAATTTCAGTCAACAAAGAACAGATCTTACAAACACATCCGATTAAGATCGATAGCAATATTATTATACATATAACTAGAGAGACCAATTACACTCTTGTGAAACCATAGTTGTGGTAACCCAATTTACAGGAACCCAATAGTCATAATAACCTTAAACACTACTACTAAACACAAAACCTTATTCCATCACGTAACCTTAGATCCTACAAATATAAAGACACACTCTCTCTAGAAAACCAAGATCGGTCTTCAGTACTGCAACATCTCTGCCGAAGCCGTGATAGGTTGTTGGTTCACATACTGATAACTCCATGGATTGTTCATGAACCCAAAATCAGCACCAGGCTCAGCAACAACACCATAAGGCTCTTCAACAACCCCAAACCCACCACTGATGGCCTCTGATAAGCTGATGATCTCGTTGAGAGCCTCCAATCTGTGGCTAAGCTCTGCCACTTGAGCTCTCAGGACTGAATTATCAGATTCAATGCTCATGTAATGCTGTGTGGTGACACTCATGCTTGTGATGATCTGGTTGTTCTCTTTCCTCAGCAGACCCAATTCACCCCTCAGATCATCCAAATGCTTTTGCTTCCTCATCCTTGACCGCCTCGCCGATTCGCGGTTCGATATCATCCTCTTCCTCTTCCTCTGATCCATCAATTGCTGCAGATCTTCTTCGGAACCTGAGTTCTGAAGCAGAGATGACCCTGAAGATGCCCCACTTGAAGAGGCCATGGAATTACCTCACAAAATCACAGAACAGTACTAAAAACGGAGTGAAAGCAGAGAGTATGAGAGAATTATAAAAACAAGCAGAACCCAATTACCCAAATAGTACTAATTAATACTCAGATTAATTAATTATATAGCAATATATATAGATATAGATATAGATATAGATATTAAAGCTAATTATATATATAGAGAGAAATCAAAATCATGAAACGTAGTAGAGCCAGTAGAGGAAGACAACTGAGAAGGATTGAACAAGATGGGTTCTGCGCCTATATGTCGAATTTATCATAAACCCAGAAGAGAAGAGTTCACTGAGAATTTGAGACATGAATTTCAAACATCAAGAACAATAAATTAAGCATGAAGATCGACTAGATAGAACAACTGGGTTTCTGAGGAGAATTTGGTGAAGGGGTGTTTCGGAAACAAAACCCCCAAGCCCAGTAGACAATAGTTGGAGATTTCTGGGAAAATAGGCCAAGAAAGTGGCTTTTTTCCAGGAAAATTGATGAGATCAAGAGAATCTTCAAATGGGTTTTGGGCGTTGATCCCAAAAACCAATCTTGGCTGTAAATTGGGTATTGATTTTGGATCCAAAAAGAGGAATATTGAAATCAGAATTTCAGAACCACCAAACCGAATTCAAAGCTAAGAGCCCTAGAAACAGAAAACAAGCATCCTAATAAGAGAGAGAGAGAGAGAGAGAGAGAGAGAGAGAGAGAGATTTTTGATGGTCTTGATAGTGGAATTTATAGGACAAAAGATGAACATTTTTAAAATATAAAAATTGAAAAAGAAAATAAAAAAGATATTAGAAAGAAAAAAAGTAAAAAAAAAAAAAAAAGAAGAAAAGAAAAAAGAAAGGTCATTGGAATCTACCCTGATGGGGGAAAAGTTGATGGAACATTTGGGTCAGTAGAGAAGCCTCCACAACCGTCCAGATCCAGCTGGGAGGCAACGACAATCATTTATTACATCGTATTATCATTTGTGAGATTGATTGCATGTCTACTCTTTTCCTGTAGTTTTATTTTTGTACCAAATTATTAAAAGTTATACCGTAAATTACAGATCAAAATCTTCTTCTTTCACGATTTTTCTAGATTTGAAGTTTTTTATTTTGGTACATAATTACTAAAGATTATAAATTACAAATCAAAATTCTCTTATGTCACTATAACAATTTCTTACCGAATATGACCCAAAATCTTATAACAATTTCTTATTGAATTAGTAAATGACAAAGTCATGGTGATCCAAAATCTGAGAACGGGTTCACTCGGAATGTCCTCAGCTGCAAAAGTCAAGAATAACAATGTGATGGTGTAATAGGGTCACTTTCTTCTAGAAGGTAACTTCTGTGCAAATAAAACTGAAAATGATGGAGTTTTGACACGTATGAAATGCTGAAATATCTTGAAAATTTTGGAGCCTGGACTCCATTATGAAAGGACCGAACACCTCCCAAATGAAAATGCTAATGGAAAGAGCTGGGATACTTCCAACCTGTTAAAACAGAATTGTTTTTGGGACAGATGTCGTATTAATAAATATACATAAGAAACTCACAAACACTTTCTTTGAATATTCGAACCAGTGGTAAAATAAATGTCACTGGCTCACAAAACTCTTGATATTAAAATATATTTAATTGAAAAATATAATACTCACACAACACATTTATTTTAAAAATACAATATTATAATATTTTACTTACAAAATACAATAGTTTTTAGGGCAAAGTGAGGAAAACACCTTAATATTTACATTTTGAACAAATAGCACCCATATCATTTATGTTGTCTATATAAGTCCGTTAAATTTGAAGAGAAAAAATGAACAAAGAAGGGCTTGAGGTCTTTCGTTCAGAATTTGGTCATGTGCATTGTATGTGACAAATTTAAGATATGAAATTTCAAAAATACCATTATCTCTTCCGAGAATGCCCTTATATATATATACTAAACCAAACCGACTCAGAACAGCTTTCAACAATCCAACTACGGTGGCCTAACTTGTATGACTTCACTCATACTCCCTCTATCCCAATTTAGATGTCGCTTTTAGGGAATAGGAATTTTTAAATGTATATGTGGGACATGCCTTGTCTCCCTAGAAAGTTAATAATTTACCCTTCTAAGTTTTGAATATTCAAGTTTGAAAATTTAAACTTCAAGGACATATATGAAAAGATGTAAAATATATTATTTGAAAAATGAAAATGACAATTATTTTGGGACATACTAAAAAGGAAAGAATGACATTTTTTTTTTTTTTTTAACAGATGGAGTACATATTTCCCGCGAGCTTCAAAGACAAAGCAGGTCCGACGAGCTTTAGACTATAGAGACGAACTGACCAGAGTGCATCAACAACCAATCCAACTGAAATGCATCAACGACCAACCAGTCTGGCGTGCTCCTATTTGGACAAACCTCAGCTTCTGGCCTGCTATTTGACCCTGTAACACTTGCTCTAGTTACGGTGAGCTTCCCAAAGAATAACAGTTCCAACAAGCTTGAAGATTGGTGTCCACAATCATAGTCAGAATATATATATATATACACACACACACACACACACACCAACATAGAATGAGCTCCATTGATGATCAGAGTGCATTAGTGAGCCAACTGAGAATGAGTGCAGAGCTTCAACAACCTCAACTGGAAATGCTTCAAGTGACGATGAAATTTGGCGACCGAATAAAACTAGAACGCCATTGAAGATGGAGTTTAAATGATCTTGACGGAACTATTAATTGATTGATCTTCTGAAGTTTCTGAGCTCATACGATGATGGAGCTTTTCGATTGGGTGCTTGAAGTGTTGGGATTATATGCCCTACAAGTCAATTAATTATTATTAATTCGATATTTTATTTATAAATGTGATATTCATACATTGGGCTTTATATATTTTTTGCATGAGATGCATTATTGTCCTCAAGTTGCATTATAGGTGACTTAAGTGTGCAAATGAGATTTACACGCAGGAGAATTGGGTTCACCGGTTTCTTGCACCTTGGCATTGTTCGCAGTCAGTTATAAAAGTTGAGCACTTTTATCTGTAAGACTGTAACACACTTGACCTCTATAAGATAGGATGGTTTGTCTCGACTATTGGGGTAGTTGACTCTAAGGCAGTGTGTTAGTATGCTTAGAGTACACCAAACAAATTATTGTTATTATTTTGGTGTGTTTCTTATCTACTAGATACATTAAGCTCTAAATCCTGAGAGGTTTAGTGGACTCAAGTTTCAATATTGGTCACTTTAACTTACCAACATGTGAGATCTTTTAAGGTCAATACCATGGTATCTTGGGTGGCTAATATTGGAGTTCTGAGAACACAAATGCTCAACATGGAATCCATACTCTATAAGAGTTAGAATATCCCCTTGATGCAATTTAATAAGTTTGATTACTGGAACCTGGCCAAGGCATTTTAATAAAATGTTTACTAAATTATTTTTCTATTATTTATTTAAAAAAATATTTATTTTGAAAAATTCTTTTATAAAAGAAATTCAGTGATCATAATGATTAAATTGGTTATTCAAGGAATATAAAATATAAGTAAGCCTTAGGTGGGACAGTATTTATTTCCTAGGGCTACTTATGAATATTCGGTAGTGGAATGGCTTATATGTAATTATTTAGTAGACAGGGTCTTGTCGTAATTTCTAAATCCTAGAGTGCAATTACAATACTATTGTGGTGCTTATTGTAATTAATTGGATATGATAGATTTATGAGATAACTCTATCTATCCAATTGGAGCTAGGATAAGGAAATCCTCTTGGATCCTCATTACTAGGCCCAGACTTTTTTAACCGATTCTCTCAATCATATATTCTGTGAGATATCGATACAAAATATTGGATCGTACACTATCCAGAATATAAAGAGTGAGAGAAAAGGTTATGATTCCACAAACCTACACTGGGGTCATAGAGGTGAAGACTCATTGGTGTTCAAGGGAAAAAGAGGAGCAATCAAATTCACTGGTTTTCTTGGCGCGTCGACGATTAATCAATCGTCAAAAAGGTATGAGATCCCTTCACAGTTTTTCTTGATTGATGAAAAATCACGTGGATTTGATCCTGAAAATTTTTAAATGCTTCCGTTGTGCCTTCATGAAGTTGAGTTGAAGCTCAGCCAGGAGCAGAGCCAAAAATTTTAGGTTGGGGCGATTTGTACTATGTAACTAAAGTTTGAAAATTTTATAAATCAACTATAATATGATTTTTTTTGAGAAAATTCAAAATTGAGAAAAATACAACTTAATAATAGACAAAAAAAAAAAATTAAAATTAGAAAGGAAAATATAGAGAAAAAACATCGAATTACAATTTAAAAGAGAAGATGTACAGAAATAAGTATTGTCAGATAATCAAATTTTCTTAATTAATTGTTTCAATTTTTCAAATTTTAATTTTTGGAAAAAATTTTTTGAGTACTAGCTTTGATTTCAATTGGGAAAGATATAAGTAGATGAAAGATTAGAAAAAAAAAATAATGAATTTTAACTAAATAAAATAATTTTAAATTAAACAAGATTATCATTATACAAAAATGTTTAACAAAAAATGATTGAAACTTTTTTATTAAACATGATGGAACATGAATGATTTGTTTCCCTTTTGTTTCTCTCTTGAATTAATATTATAGATATTGTACATGTGTACATGTAAATAAATTAATAATTTGTTACAATAACAACTATAATAATAATAATGAGTTTCTTCACAATATTCGAGCTTTTAAAAGTATAGTTAAAAGGGTTCAGGTATTTTTTAAAATTTTCAAAAAGACACAAAGTTTATTTTCAAACTATCTATTTAGGGGCTAATTTTCAAACTCTTTATTTTGGGTCAATATGTAATTGTTTTCAAAAAATTGGGGTGGGGTAGGGTGGGGTGGGGGTTAAAAATTTTTAGGGGTTATATTTATAAATTAATTAATATTCAGAGGATAGTAGTAAAAAAATTTAAAAAGTTTGTTGGGGGGGGGGGGGGGGGGGGAGGCACTGAAGATCACCACTTTGCATCGACTGAACTCACTGTCTTTCCACCGACAAAAGCTCTCATTCTGTTCGACTCTGAAAGCTCTTTGGCTTGAGGTCTATTCGGTTTGCCATGGTCGGTCGAAGGTCACTGAATTGCTAAAATTGCTCAAGCTTGATGATAATGATATTTTAGTAAAGCTCGAGGGAAGAGACGAGATGGTGGAATCCACATCCGCCATCGAACAACCTGGTTTTCTTCAAATCCACCGGCGGCAACTTGCTTCATCACTGACAGTGACAATGAAGAAGAAACAATGAAAGATTATTTTAATCATTTTATATTTTATTAATTTTTTTACATTTTTTTATTCAGTTATAGAAGTATATTTTGGTGCATTCAAATCCTTGTATACTACAAAATTGAATGTTATGAATTTTTTTAGAGAGTTATACAATCTATATGCATGGGTGTTTTTTTCTCTGCTACCCTAGTTTTTATTTGAAATTGCTTTAAGGTCCCTACACAATCGTTGTGTGACTGAGTATGAAAGTACTCCGTATAAGAACTTAAACAGAGTGTTTTTGTTCTATTCAAGAATATGATGTTGAGGGTTGATATGTCATTTGACCTGGAGGCAATTAGATTTCTTCTTCGAGTCTGTGCCGACCGAAGAACTATATTGCGATCTTGAAGAGCGAGCCTGTGTA